CTACATATTACAACCAATGAAAGAGGTATTACTGCAGTAAGGATTTGAAAACTACACTACTTCAGGAATCTTAGAGCACAGGTAGGTGCTGTGAAGGTTTTGAGTTTCCCTGTGCAGCAAGAGATGCTGTAAGAATGTGAAAATTTCAAACAGCAAAAATGACTCTGAGGTGAAACAGAAGTGTCCTTACTTCCTCCCCACTTCTTACCCTTGAAGTGGAATAAAAAGAAGTATCATAGACTCATAAAGTAGTATGAGTTGGAAGGAATCTTTTAAAGGTCATCTAGTCCAACACCCTTGCCATGGGCAGGAACATTTTCACCTAGACCAGGTTGTTCAGAGCCCCATCCAACCTGGCCTTGAGTGTTTCCCAGGGATGGAACATCTGCCACCTTCCTGGACAACCTATGCCAGTGTTTTACCATCCTCATTGTAAAAAAACTGCTTTCTTATATCTAACATAAATCATCCCTCCTTTAATTTAAAACCATTCCCCCTCATCTTATTGCATCAGGACCCTTTGTCCCTGTCTTCCATATAGATTCCCTTCAAGTACTAAAAGTGCTATCAGAATTCATACCAAAATTCAGACACATTGAATATCATCAGAAAGAAAGCTGATTCATGAAAAAGGGTACGTGAATAGCTATTGACTTAGGGCTTAGTTGCCAATTATGCCAAGGTGTTATTTATGTCTTAAAACAACTCTGCATAAAGTGTTGGTGAAATGTAAGCAGTTTTTACACATTTCTCTTAGCTGCCTAGTGCAAATCTCTGTACAAATTCGGGCCATACAGTAAGTTAACAATGAGATATTTTGCTGCTGTTTGAAGAGTTCAGAGTACATTTTGCCTAATCTGAAATAAGCCTCATTAAAGCTGCAGGGAGTGCTCATACAGCCCTTCAATCTGCCTTACATATATCTACAACTGTTATCAGCATTCTTATGCCTATCATCTCCAGAAAGTCTACCTAGAAAGATAAAATGCTTTGGTTTAGCCAAATACATCACACCAAAGAAGGTATCTGCAATATAAATTCATTCTTCAATTAAATCATTAATTAAACCAGAATTTCAAAATACTGGGCCCTTTGAAAATCTTGGTGTGCAGGAATTAGCAGTTTTGAAACAACTAATTGTTCAACTTTTACTTTTCAAGTATACCCTGTATTTTAAATCGAAATTCTAAATTAAAAATGTAAATTGGACTGTATCTTTTAACAGTTGGTGATTTGTCTATTTTCCACATTTTATTATGCATCATTTTTATAATAAAGAAGGGATTTTTTTTTCACTCCTGTTCTAGTTGATAGCAATTCTTCCATGCTTCTCAAAGCTAATGGAATCAAACTACATAAAATGTTTAAGAAAAGCCCCATTAAAATATACAAAGCATACTAATTCATGAAGTCCAAGTCAAAGCAGAGTGGAAATATGAGCTTTAATAAAACTATGTCTGTTGTAAATAACTATTCAAGCACAGTCATTTTTTTGCAAATTGCATGGGATATAGCTCGGTCTACTCGAAGCAAAGAATCGCTCGGCAGGATAAATGCATCTTAGTCAGAAATAGATTAAAAGATACAGCTGAGCCATCAATAAGAACCAGATAGTGCAGTATTATTTGCTGTTTGTTTTGAAGATGTAATTGCAGATCTCAGGATTTCAATAAATCTGTGCACATCACGGAAGGAATTGTAGAGAGGAACTGGAGCAACGCGAAGAGCATTTGGTTCTCGCATGTCACACTGCAAAACAGAAAGAGAATGTTCAGTTAATTCAGGTCACTTCATATTTATCTGTCAGATTATATTTTTTAAAGCCATCATTTTCTTCAAGAAAGAATGACTGGACTGACAAGAAGCAGCATGTAAAAACTTTGGCATCCTCAGGAAGCTACAATGAGGAGCTTTATTGTGGAGAACACACTAAGGAGATGTGTGTTGCCCAAAAAATGATGAAAGGCTCAAGCTGGGCAGGAATTCAGCAGTGTTACTGAGGTCTCCAAACCAGCTATACATCCCCAAAATTCACCTTAGTGCCTATAGCAACCCAGAGCTGAAGAGGCACACAGGTAACAAAAGAAATCCCACAAAAAATACCCATGATGGTAGAATGTTTTTTACTACAAGTATTGCCACAGGCATTACAGCATTTTTCTTCCCCTTTCTGTGATTTTAACCATTTCCCCAAATACAATAATCTCTCATATTTGAAACATAATACTGTATTGCAAAGACAAGCCAAGAGTGTGAGGCCCTGTGCCTTCTTAACAGCAGTTCCTGGAATTCCCTGGCAGCACCCAAACAGCAGCATACTTAGCGGAGTTGCCC